GGACCGTCCGTCATAGTTTCCAACTGCATATAGACGTAAAACGAATCAATCAATCAATCAATCGATCCGCTACAAATTCGCTCTGCCTACTGCTGTCGCTCGCTGCGATTAAACTGATCTTCTAAAGATTCGCGAATGCGACCGACCCGGACCTAAGGCGCACTGTAAGAAGGAAAGCATGCGTAGGAGACAATGGACAAAGATGAAGGTGGGCTGATCGGGTGGGGACGGCGAGAAAATCTGATAATGTAACGCTTGACGTCCACATATGGTTATCAGATGCGCGGGAGCAGGAAGAAAGCGGCATTCGCCGGCAGCATTGATGGCTCGTCGAACAGTGCGCCCCTGGCGCATCCTTCTCGCGTCCAACTCCTTCGCGGCCCACAAGACGCGACTCATCCATCACCGTTGTCAGAGCATTGGAATCGCGACGCACAACATCATTCAAGGCCTTTGCTCTACGCATTGCATGCATCGAGCTGCAACTGGCATCCCTCGCTTGGTTTCGTCATGTTATAGCGCGGCTGCATGTCAAGCGCCCGCTGTAACTCGCTCGTATCGCCGCGCGATCTTGGGCGCCTAGCGAGGATTCCCTGTGGCGCCATTTCGGGATACTGCCAGATCTGATAAGATTTGTCGACTCCGCAGTAAAGTGGCACCCTTTCCGATGCACGCGCACTGTTACCTTGGGCGGCAGCAGCAGTAGAAAAGCCTGATGACGGGACCAGGTCTGTCGATCGTACCAGTCGGCTGGTTGTTACATATCGATTGACAGCCCACTCATGCACCAGTCTTTGCTTTTCCGTCTCTCCCGGCTACCCGCTCGCGGCCTTGTCTTGATATGACGGTCTGATCTGCGTGGCCGGTAGCTCGAGGTCGATCCAATCTAGACAGACTGTCATATGATTGTCTCTGTTTCTCCAAGCCATTGCGGAGGTTTCATCTGATTTTGGTCAATCGGGGCGATATCACTTGGCCGCCCGTCTTCTAGAACAATGCATGCTGCGTATGTATGACCTAAAGAAGCATTTCCGCCGGATACAATTGACCAGGATACCATTCCGCACGACCGTTAGCGCCCGTACGCAGGGTATGCAGAAAATATGACCGAGAAACCTTTCGCCGCATAATCGGGCACCCGATGTCGCTGGGGTTTTTATAAAGTAGCGGGGCCAAACTTCCTTGCTTTAACCTGCAGGTCTTGTCTTGTCTCATCCCCGCAGCACAACGGCAATAAGAGATCCTACGAGGCATTTCTCTTTCTGTCTAGCCCTGTTTCTTCAATCTTGTCGAGCTCTCTTGCCCATCTCACTCGATTTCCGGCCATGCGTCTCAAAGCTTCTACAGCCATCACATCGGCTGTCGCACCAGAGATCACGGGTCTCCAGAAAGAAACCGCCGTCGCAGACAGCAAGGATCTAGGCCAAACCACCGTTCCACAGGATGAATCAGACCGCGAGAAAAATGCAGTGCCAGTCAATGACCATAACCAGGAAGGTGTCGAGAGAATAGAGGCCATTACGTCCACATGGAGTTGGCAGGCTCTGGCTACTGTCCTTTGCTTGTAAGCCTTGACGATGTTTGGCTGGTTTCGGGTTCATGCTGACCTTTGCGGACAGCATCTACATCTTTACGTTCATGCAGGCGCTGTTTAGCTCTGCTACCGGCCAGTTAGCCGCTTATGTCACGTCGAGCTTCCATGATCATTCCCTCATATCTACGGTCTCTGTTCTATCCAGCGTCATCGGCGGTGTCGCCAAGTTCCCAATCGCCAAGATTCTTGATGTGCGCGGCCGCATTGAAGGATTCATCTTGATGACTGTCTTCTGTACCCTTGGGCTACTCCTCACCGCTTCTTGTACAAATGTCGAAACATACGCCGCTGGTCAGGTGTGTAAAACGGGTGAAAGGAACCAATGAACATGATCTAATTGTATCTTTCTGCAGGTTTTCTACGCCATCGGCTCCGGCGGCATGAGCCAATGTATCACAATCTTCCTGGCGGACATTACTCAACTGAAGAACCGTATGATCGCTTACGGCTTGAATTCGACTCCGTACATTGCTACGACCTTTGCCGGCCCTGCCCTAGCTTCTAGGTATTTGGGTGGTGCTGGTTGGCGTTGGGCATATGGCTCTTTTGCCATTATCACCCCGGTTGTTGCATTGCCAATTATCACGATCTTCCTTTGGTTTCAGATGCAAGCAAAGAAGACTGGTGCGCTTCCCGTTCGTGCCACTAGTGGTCGCACCTGGTGGCAGTCCCTTGCCTATTACTGGGTACAATTCGATGGTAGGTCTACAATGTTTCTGTGTGTTCAGCATGAAACAAGGCGAAAATACTGACTTGTCTCGTCTAGGTGTTGGCCTTTTCCTCGTCACTGCCGGCTTCTGTATTCTACTCGTCCCCTTCACACTGGCGTCTACTGCTACACATAGATGGAACACTGGCTGGATTATCGCCATGATCGTTGTCGGCTGTATTGTCCTTGTCGCATTCGTGATTTGGGAAAAGTACTTTGCCACGGCCGTTATGGTTCCTTGGCGCTTCCTGAAGGACCGTACTGTGCTAGGCTCTTGTATCTTCGCCTTCTTCCTCTATCTGACCTTTTAGTAAGTTATCTAAGTACTCCCTGCATGCCGCAGCACATCGAAACTAACATTTGCGTAGCTGCTGGGATCTTTACTACTCATCTTACCTTCAGGTTGTTCACAACCTGAGCGTCTCGAAGGCTGGGTATGTTGTCAACATCTACAGCATCATCTCCTGCTTCTGGGGTCCTATTGCCGGGCTCTTTATCCGTTGGACTGGGCGGTTCAAGTGGCTCGCCATCGCTGCCGTTCCCGTCTCTTGCCTTGGTACTGCCCTGATGATCTACTTCCGTCATCCCGGCGCATACATCGGCTACATTTGCATGTGCCAAGTTCTTATCTCGGTCTCGGGCGGCACACTCGTAATGTGCGAGCAGATTGCCATTATGGCGCCTGTGACGCACAACGAAGTCGCCATGGTCCTTGCCCTTGAGGGTGTTTTCGCCGCGATCGGTGGCTCCGTCGGCCAGTCCATCTCCGGCGCCATGTGGTCCAACTATATGCCCCAGAAACTCGTCGAGTTCCTGCCCGCCAGCGAGAAGGCCAATGCAATGACGATCTACGGCTCGTTGCCAGAGCAGCTGTCGTACCCTTGGGGTAGCGAGGCTCGCAACGCAATCATTGACGCTTACGGCTTCACGCAGCGCCGCATGCTCATCGTCGCGGCAGCGCTGTATCCGATCACTTTCTTTGCCGTGTTCATGTGGCGGAACATCAACCTCAACAAGATTCAGCAGACTCGTGGTACCGTGTTTTAGTTTCTTTTCTGTTTTTTTTTTTTTTTTTTTTTTTTTTTTTTTTTTTTTTTTTTTTTTTTTTTTTTTTTTTTTTTTTTTTCCTGTTGCGGGGGGCATAAAAATAACACAAAAAAAATTTGTACGCACAACAAGTTCTTTTTTGAAATTTGTAGACGAAATTCAGTGGTTGTTAGTAGTTTGTTGCTACTTTTAACCGATCGTTACGATCGTTACGATGCAAAGTAAAAGTTTGAGTTAAGACCAAATCTTAGTTGTTTCCATGCTAAAGCGGTAATCTAAATCTTATGTCTACAGATAGTAGCCTAGCTGGTATTTATTGCTTTTGGTGTCCTGAGTCTTACGGTCATAACCAAAGCTTATATATCTTTGAAGTTATGTTAAATCCATTAGACCTGGCAATGTTGCGCTTCCTAGACAATACTTCTTACCCTCTTCAAAACGTTTTGATTATACTCTATAACACTGTCATCCGAACCGAGCTTGAGAAAATATAGCGTAGTTATTCGAGATTACACGCGCAGTTTGCCACGAAGGGATCGAGTGTCTGCAGCTCCATGAGCGGCGCTCTGTCCAAAGCGAGCTGAATGTAAACGAATGCAAGGAAGAATAGAGATGCAATAAATCCTGCCGTCCGTCTGTTTTCAAGGGGTACGTGCTAAAGTAGATGGGTGGTGCATTGATTCCGTTAATGCTTATTCAGCATTAATTGGGGTCGTTGATTTTTTTACTGCAATAACTGAAGAATTTGTAGGAGATCCGGCTCATGTACAGCGGGTGAAGAGCACGCTAATAGCGACATATCATAGGAAAAAGATCAAGAAAAGAGTTATCTCGGACCCCAGCCTACAGCTTTGCCACGTTCTGCTAATACCGGATTGATTTCCAGACTTTGCACCAACCTCAACTCCATTTCCGTCGCTTCATCATATTTACAGCTGTCTTTTAGAGCAGCAATCAAATTGCGCATGCTCCTTTGTGTATGGGGATTATGCGGGCCGAACACTTTTAGGCGCACCTGGAGTGCACGGCGGTGCCAGGTCTCGCTCTCCTCTGGCCTGTTCAGCATCCTGGTTACAATTCCGAGCATATTGATGTCGGTGATAGTTTGGGGGTTCTCTGAGCCCAATGCATTCTCACGTGCGGCAAGACATCGATTCGAGAGCGACTCACACTCTTGCCATGCTTTAATAGCCAAGATCCTATCCCCAATGGACTGAGGTGCTGCGCCGATATCCTTCAGGATGGCAGCAAGGCTACTAGCGGTATGTATGGTGCGGAGGTCGTCTTGACCAAAAATTCGTGTTTTCTTTAGCAAGGTCCCGCGGCTCATTTCCTCTGCTTGGTGTAGCAGCCCTGATTCTTTAAGAATGGCAGCTAACTCATCTTCAGAAGTTAACGAATCAGGGTGTGTACCGCCTAGGATTTTACGTCGACCTTCTAGAGCTTTTCGGTGTAACGCTTGGGACTCCTTATGCTCTCCGATGCGCCTTAAAACAGTAGCAAGGTGAGCCATCGCATCCAGCGTCTTTGGATCTTCTCCACCAAGTACTTTAGTTCGTCCTTCTAGAACCCGACGGTAGATTGACTTCGCTTTGATCCAGTCTCCGTTCAAATGAGAGAGGTTACCGAGTTGGTGAAGTCTTTCGAGTGTAGTGGGATGTTCGTAGCCGAACAGACGTTTGTTCTGTTCCAAAGTATTCATGTACTGCTTTTGAAAGCATTCGGTGACTGATTGAATACGGAGGTCACCAGCTGAACATCGTTTAACCCACTCGTTGAGCTGAGATTGCAGCACGATGAGTTGGCTTGCATCCGACTTGTTGTTACTGTAACGTGACAAGTATGCGGAAGTTGCTCGAATTTCTTCGTTCCGAGAACTTCCAATCAGAGTTTTGGGATTTAGTGGCCCTGATTGTGCTAGATGCAAGGCCCAGAATTTTGAGGAATAGTCGAGCAATGGATAGACATTGGTTGAGTCTCTGTCATCCGAAGCTACCAATGCTGTAAAGCTGAGTTGCGTAAGACATGTCCCTGCCAAATGTTCATGGGCTTCCTCAGTCTTGACCTTGAATCTCAAAAACGGTGCTTGACTTTGTTGATCGTGTTCCGCTTTTGAAACAAGGTATTCTTTTACTGTGGTGTGCACAAAGTTTACAGTTTTGTCTTTAGAGTCATTTGTATCGTCCCTAATTAGCTCAACGAGAGAACCACAAACATCCTCAACAAAGTGTTGAAGGTCGATGACCTGGTTCATAGGGTCGATATCGGTGTCGCCTTCCCGGATTGAAAGAGCTGTTCCTAGCTCTTTAACAGCCGGTGTACGCTCTGCGCACGTCAACCACTGAAGCAACTTATATGCTGCATCTTGTCTTCTCGGAGATTCTTGAAGAAGTTTCTCTAGAGCCCTGCTGTACAGCTGGTCAAGCCCAGAGGGTAAATTGCTGAGTATATCTTCGATTTCCCACAGGAAAGTTGCTTTTAGCAAGCTTTGGATGATCAGTCTAGCCCAAAGAAACTGCCCATCTGCATTTTCGCCGACTGCTTTTACTATCCTCGTTTTGGTGGCATCGGAACGAAAAACCTCAAGTTTAGATTCAGACAAACTGAGGTTCACGTATCGTTCTATATCTTGTTCCACCAGCGACGCAGTAATGCGGATTTGATGTTCATCCTGAAGCTCGCTACGAATATGCGGTTCGTTCCGACTTGTAATAAACAGGAAGAAATGTGATCCGGGGCAGCGTGCCAGTTCTAGAAAGGCGGGTGGTAAAAGTGTTTCTCGGCCGTCCTCGCATTCGTCCAAAGCATCGAGCACCAGGATTATACGTTCGCTGCTCTTAGATAGCAGTTCACGAAATATCCGCAACAACCCCTCGAGAGATGTCGCACGCTTCTGACCACTTCTTAGCATAGCTTGGAAAGCCGGGTCCAGGTGGCTTGGAATTTGAGCAATGAGTTGAGCTGTAATCGACCGTATAATGGCCATAGATGTGCGCTTTGTGGCCACAGTGGATTGGCAAAAAAAGGAAACGACAAAACTCTTTAGCGGAATCAGCAATCCCCTTTGTCTTAAGTGGACGACTAGCGAAGAACATAGAATAGTCTTTCCGCAGCTGTATTTTAGAGTTAGTTTAGCGTGCCCAAGAATTTGCATTTCTTAGGGCTTACACAGGAATACCGTGTAGCCAGAGAACATTCTTCTGGCCGGTAATCCAATCCTCTAACCCCTTGCTTTCTAAAAACCATTGACCTGTTCCCGGACGTTTCATGCGTTGAAATATCTCAAGTTCATGCTCATTCTCTAACGGTGAAAGCCAGGAGATAATTTCTCGGGCTTGAAAGGCACGAAGTACTTGTTGATCGTGGGTCCTCGATACCCTGGATTTTCCCATTGTCGCAACTATAGCTTCCATGTCTACGAGAGCCTTGTGTCTCTTTACGCTGGTTACAATGGAATCAGATTTGTGTCGGAAGTCGCGCCACAGTAGCCTTCATATCAAAGCGATCCCTAAAAGGTTTAACATTGTTACATAAAAAATCACATAGTGCAATGCTCACCTTTTCTCTTTAGAAAAGCGACAGCAAGAACGCAAAAATCTAGCAAATCCACGTAAACCAGGGACAAAGCATACTGTACACGCTCCTCGCTGGCAAAGACATTTGCGTATTCGTCAAGTCTTGGTAAAGTCTCGATCAAATCTGACATTATTTCGAACATGTTGTCAAATAGATCGAGATGTCTCTGTACAATCTATCACATTGCTTATTAGCCTTCTGCCTAATCCTTAGCTAATATAGGTAATAAATATACTGTCAATATCAACGACAAAGATCCCCAAACCAAAGCCAGTTCCCCGACACCTGTATTGCAGAATGTTTTCATGGCATCGTCGTAATTCATTATGGCGTCGATGACAGGTCTGGCCCGCATAAGCCCTCGAAATGATTTCCCTCCATGGTGGGAGGAAGACATGTCATTAATAAGCGTGAGTAGCTCTATTGGGAGTTATGCGTGCATTGAGAATCGACTGTTGTGAGCTGTTGCATTTTCCTTGGATTTTGGTCATCGCTGTTTCCCAGGCAGACTGAATACAAGCATTTGCTTGTCGCGTTGGAACTTCCACTTTAGACAAAAAATCCGACTGTCCCTGGAGGAGGAAGGCGCCTTGTGAGGAGGCCATCAATGCTATGGTGAGTTATGCTATGGTGAGTTGATGAAGAAGAGACAGAAGGCTAAAGGAGAGTTTATATTAGCGAAGTCTGCCTGTCAGCTTGACGAGGCTGAAGAAAAAGAAAAACGAAACGGATGCTACGTATCAAAATTATCGTATGATCACATCCCACTAGCCGTCTGCAGCTTGCCGGACGTACCATGTCTCCCTGCTCACTGATTGGGTAGCAGCGGTATCGGATAAGCCTCAGCCTCATCTTATAGCTTGGCCCCTAAGCAACTAGGCTCCTCGTTCTTAATTACTGTCAAGTTACCTTGTTCATCACCACTCTTTTCCTGCCTCAGAAGTTAGCCGTGCGATGTAACTGACCTACTGGACATCTCGAAGGCCTAGTGAAAAATACCCATCATTACATCTATTAGTTCATCGGCCTCGGGATGTCGCAGGCTTTGGGGATTGAAAGAGATCCCATGGTCCATTGCTGAGACCAAAACTTACAACAGAGGGTGGTGGTTTATTAGGCCCATGAGCAGCGCAAAATGACAAACCAAATGCCTGTAGGTTATCCCAGATGGAACATTCGACTGCGGTTTGGAGGCGCGTAAGAGGACGGAGTTGGTAAGAAGCCACAAGGCTCTGTAAATACTGATAATTTCTGGTTGGGACGCGAAAGCGCGAGACCGGTTTGGGTTAAGGGCGAAAGAGAAGGAGTAGAAGTGCGTTGGGACCTGTATTGCATTTTGTCAATAAACTTGCAGCAGGCATCGAGGAACTGGCTATCTACATCATATCCGCATATTTGGTAAGAAATGACCCACCAGGTGCCACATATATTGTCGCATTGTCGCTTTTTTCCAATGATAGTAAAATTCCTATGTCAAATTTGCGAATCAGAATCGTCATGTCCAGATCAGGAGAACCGCTGCCGATGTAACAATGTCTGTGTCAGTGCAGGATTTGATAATGTCGCTTGCACAGCTGTTGTTGTATGCAATTAAAATTTGTTATTGGCGTGAATATTAGAGATATCCAACGTGTGCCCTTCTTTATCGCTGAGTAGGCTCGACTACTTTCTTTTATTATCTTTGCTTCTGCAACTCATATGCTATTCCATTCCACAGAAAGTACCACTAGCTGGCAAGAGAAAGGAGGTCTAGAGAGATACGCGATATTGCAGTAGTAGGTTTTCCGAACATCCAGATGGATTTCTGCTGACACCCAACCCAGAAGAAGGTTCGTGGTGGTAGGAGAGTACTCGTACATCAGCATGAGCCACATTAAGTAGAAACTGGTCGATGTATCATACAAATCTTCCGGCTCAATGACGAGCGTTAGGATCCTGACCACCTAAGATCTTTAAGCGTCAACTGCATTTGCTTTCGACCCATGCGATATAGGTAACTTGCCGTTTGCAGACAAAGTTTTTTCTCTGGGTAAGCTGCCGCGAGCTAGACCAAACAGCGAAATTGGATAGCTTAGGCAAGTTAAGCGTGGCTTGGTTTTTTATCCCGCAATTACAGTAGGGTTCGGCTCGGCCCTTTCTTCGATATTTTTCTCTGGCTTTTTCCCCGGACTTCCATTGCCTTCATCATTCATGGCGCAGCCCACGCCCTTAGCGAAAGAGAAATCAGAAACCACCAGCCATCAGTGTCTTCAGCCTTCCTCACCATATCGCGCATCAGTACACACGCTCTCGCCGTTGCTGCAAGGCACTACTGCGTCAATACCTGTATCTTCCGGGTCGGTCAGCGGCTGCTGCTGCAACCGCAGCTAAAAGCTCGGACCTGCGCCGCTCGTTCAGCGGGCAGCAACATCTGTCCCGCCAGTATCCGTTCTATCGTCATCACTTTCATCCAAGTAACTCGTGCTTCACGCCGCGCCTGGTCCCGCAGGTGGGTTTTGGGTGATACATAGTCCGGATAGCCGGCCTGCCGGGGGCCAGGCGCCAGAAGAACCGGGCCATGCAGGGCGTATGATCGACAAAGGCGCGCGCGACGCCGTGACCGAGGGCCGTGCCGCGTCCGGCCCGAAGACCGCTGAAGCGCGCTGGCGGGGCTGTCGGCTGGAGATGCCATGCTCGCGATGTAAGTGGTTGGCTGGCACCCAGACAGCGTTGCCCGAGCGTGCGGTCGAGCCTCCAATCTTGGGCGTCCTTTTGGAGAGGAGCGTTGGGAGAAGGGCGACCGCCGGCGACCTTGGTGCCTACCACCCTACGACCGGCCCGTCGACATGTTGTAGCCTTTGAAGAATCGATAGTGGCGATCTGCGAAGAACGGGAAGATTTGACATCTCTGCTAGAGGTGTGGAGATGATGCGACAAGTGCTGCGTCGCAGAGTTGCATCCAAAGGATCGTCCAAATCCCAGTTCATATACAGCTGCATGAATGGTTTGGCGCAGCTGAGTATCTACTCAGGTGAGTAAGAAGGCTGTTTTGTGCCGAAAGTTGATCATTCAAAGAATTTTGTAAAACATCCGTCTGGTCCAGGTAAAGCGCTTACTGTGGATTGAGATCTAGGTGTTTTCAGCTACACGTTTGATAGACAAGGGTTAGCTCAGTTAGCTTCCGATACGTTTGTTTTACCTTTCTCGACCTATATAACCAAGTACTAAAGCCTACAATAGATCAGGATTGCTCTTCTTGCACGGTAAGACGGCACAGCCGGATCGGCTGATTTTGTCGTGATGGACGGCGAAACGGCACGCAACAGGTGGATAGAGTATTCACGCAATCACACCGGTCAAGAGCACCCGGCCGTGCCTCACTTTCGGTCCTCACAAACCGGTATTTTGTCCTTTAATGCAGGTACTAAGACAGTGCATGCCCAGCAGGAAGGTTCGACACACGAAAATCGCCGGGCAAGCGAGAACACCATGGAATAGGTGAACACGTAGGTACGATCTGGCAAGATACGAATGATGAAAATAGAATGCGGGGCACCGATCAACGCCCCTGCTCGAAAGCGGTGAAGTGGCACGGCAAAAATGTCGTGTCCTTCGTCGAACACATTTCATCTCTGCCACCACTCACAAAAGCCGGACTCGCTAACGTGGCCACCCCGGTGCCACTCGTGCCTCGAAATGTATAATACTGGGCGACGAGTGGTGAGCTCGTCCTCCAAACCACCATGAGTCTCTCCACTGGAGACACACGGCCCCCGAACTCAGCCCCGGACAGGCCCACATTTATCGGTTTTTCGGTTTCAGTCCAGCGCATGTTTAAACGTTTGGCCAATGGTCAGTGCGGAGGCAGCGCCTAACGTACAAACAAATACCTGCGGCTGGGCCGCTCGTGGCGTGCAGCTGTTTCCGTCCGGTGCCCTTGCCAAGTTTGCAGGGCCGCTACTCTACACCATGGTCTTGAATCAGCCTTTTACCGGATTCTCAGACCCTCCATCGCCCGTCGATGAGGAAACGCACATCCCGGATGCCGATGGAGATACTGTGGTGGAAGCGCAACAGCAACAACCAGGCAATGCTTCCGGTTACTCCAGAGTTAACAATGGCGACGATGCATCGATATTCACGACGTTTACGGTTCAGCCACCGCCCAGTCTCGGCCGGAGATCAATTTTCAGCGAGCATTTACATGAAGACGACGAGGTTTACGATCCAAAAAATAAGGAACCAAAGGATGAACCGTCACGACCGCTGCGATATAACTGGAGACCATTCTTCCTGTTGCTCTTCTACATTCCGGTGCTTGTAATCCCATGGGTCTTGACGTGCATACTGGCATACCACCCGCTCAACGCCTCGTCTTACTACATTCAGGCAGGAGGGCTCTCACCTGATCAGGTTTCTTCTGTGTCGTCTACGATCATCGCCATCCGAGTGCTCAATTCTGTTGCAAGTGTGGCAACAATCCCGGTGATTGGAGCTGTCCTGGCACAGGCCGCCGTCGTGTACACGCAAAAAAGGAAGAGCGACCAATCGCTCACCCTGAGGCAAACGCTTGCGCTCGCGGATCGGGGATGGGGAGACATTGGTGTCCTTTGGGATGCCCTGCGAGGTGATCGTGGACGCGCAGGCGCGGCTAGCCTCTTCTTGTGGTTCGCGGCTCTCCTGATCGTGATAGGTAAGTACATTCGAAACTGATTACAACGTTTGAGCTAGTCGGAGCTTTCAAAACCCGGTACCTCTGCAGCAATGACCGTTCACAATAATCCTCTCTTTATTACGGTTAAAGTGGAAAAAGACTACAAATACTAGCCGGATATATCTATGAATGCTTTTTTTAAGGGCATGAATCTGCCGGCTAGCTCAAACGTCGTAACTGGTCATGTCTATAGGTTTTATAATATCTATAGATTACTGACGTGTGGTTTATATAGGTGCCGTTCAACAGCCACTGCAACAACTTCTGGTCAGATTTGACGACACACTCGTCCTGACATCTCAAGACAATTCGACCTCTAACCACATCTCTGGCTACGACCCGGAACCTAGCGACCTAGAAAAGATGCCTCAAGGCCTTGGAGTATCAGAGGTCGCGGCATCTCTCGGCACGGCGTCCGACCAGGAAATCTTTTCCCAGATATGGCCTGAGTATACCGGCGCGGACAATGCAACCGCAGTAAAATCGGCAGATAGCCAAACTTTCCGGTGGTACAGTCATGATAACCAGACGGCTGGTCTTAACCGAACCTACTTTGTCTCTGCTCTGCCAAACGGGACAACGACCGGAGTCCTCCGTCAACACGCAATGAGATTCAACTCTTCAGTCAAATGCGAGCACGTATCTGGCATCCCGTCGCCCTGTTCCGGATCCAGGCCCTTTGAGGCTTCACTGTCAATGCCAGGGGTGTTGAACATATCTCTCTGTGCTCCCGGAGCATATGGCGAATCCCCTTGGAATTTAAGCCGGAATCGTCAAGACATCACTGAACATTTATATCTGGATGTTTACGTTCCCTGTTCTAAAGACATCATCCAAAACAGAAACCAGGCGGCCAATTTTACGCTTCGCTGCACGAGCAATACCACCAGAGGATATTTTGAGCTCGGCAACTACAGAAATAACTACACTCATGGCCCACTCTTGGAGACCTGGCCTACCCCCGAGAACATGTCCAAAAATTACAACGATAAATTAAGGGGTACGCTTGGAGACCGGCCTACAGAGCTGTGAGTGTTTTCCGGATTCCACAGCGAATCGCGCTGACGTTGATGTTCAGGGACCACGGCCGCTACAACAGAACAGGCTGGGACGTCGATTCTCTCCCCGATCCCTTCGGCACACGCAACCTCAACATGTCAGGCCCACTCATGACCTCCGCGCTCGCCATGTTCGGGAACCAATCCTTCTTCCACCTCGCCGCGAACCACACAAACGCGACCTCCATCCGCACCAAAACCGAGATCTGCAAGTACTACAGCCTGCCGCTGGCACGGCTGCTTCCGCAGTGGCACGACGACTTCCAACACTTCTGCGGGGACGCCGACTCGGAAAAACAGCCGCGCGGCGCGCTAGCGCAGCTCGTGAACGGCTGGGTCTTCAACTTCAACGACACCGACGGCGCAGAGCAGGCGTTCGAAGCGGGGATGTTCTTCGCGACGAAGGCGCTGCTGACGCAAACGGTGGATGCGACGCGGGCGTGGGGCGCGCGTGAGATCCAGTCCGCTCCGGGGGCGATGGTCATCAAGCCAAACGTATCGCTGGCCGTTATCATCGTCATCAGCATCATAATCTTCCTGCAGATCTGCGGGCTGGCGTACGCCGTTTGGTATATTTATCAGGTGCGGACGTGGACAGTGACGCTCAATGGCACTGCTATGGCGCGCGTTGGGGCTGGGATGGACAAGTCGGAGATGCCACCTATGGGGATGCTGATGCGCAAGGACCTGGACACGCTTAATGATGTTGATGGGTTGGTTGGGGTTGTGGAGAGGCGAGCTGATAGTGGGGGTGATCCTCCGTTAAAACTTGGGGCGCCGGGCGTTATAAGTAAGAAGACATGAGAGTTCTGGTTCTGGTTTGGGGGTTTATGTTTACGCGGTTTCTCCTAATATGCCTGCAAATAGAGTTCATATCCTACTTCGGGTAACTTGATTCATGCTCTGGTATTCCGTGCCTGTCTCTTGGCTTCATTTTCTCTCTACATGGCCGCGAAGTCTATTACTCTATGTGTACCTGGTAAAATCGAGTATTTATAAATACGATATTGTTCTTAATATCCTCATGGTGGATAGTTCTCTAATGGGAGCGGTGGTACACTGTATCAGTAAATAGGATATTGCGGATATGACGGTAATATCAAGTCGTCCCAGATTCAAATACTCTAAAACGCTATGATGTTATTACTCATACAATAGCTACCTAGCACCTCCATAAACAGGCAGGATGTTGTATACTGCTATGTATAGATGAACATGCATTCTAGAATACTCTGTATCAGTCTCGTAATCAAAAAACCAGTCATCTCCTACACCTAAAGCTATAATTAAAGCTTCACCGAACCCGGTCATGCTCACTTCACATTACTTAAAAATATCCAAACAAAACCCAAAGGTAGTATCATATATGACGTATGCATTCTACCCTACCAACCCCCCTACTTTCAAGCCTTACGAAGAAGCCATTGCCAGCCTAGGTAGTTCCAATAAACCCAATCCAGTCGCAACCGAACTAAGCCAGCTCTAATCACGAACCAATACAGGGGACGAAAGGAAGAAGAAAAAACGAAGCAAGAAGAACCAGCAACCGAACAACAACAACAACAACAACAACAACAACAACTAATACTACTGCCACCAAACAAAAAGAGACCGAGAAGAAAACTATAGAACGCACCGCCGGTAAAGAATGCCCTACTCTGTGAGAGCCCAAAACCTCGTAGCTCGTTTGTTTAACTTCGTGCCCCATCGCAAGCACGGTGCGCCATCAGCGACAATGGCAGCAGTGTAGTTGAGGCTATTGTGGGTTGGTGAGCGCTTAGAAGAAGCGGATGCGCTGGTAGTGCTGGGAGCGGGGAGCAAGCATCATGCCGGTTGCTGCCCCGGTGCCGGTGCCGGTGCCGGTGCCGGTGCCGGTGCCGGTGCTGGTGCCGGTGCTGGTGCTGGTGCCGGTGCTGCTGCTGTCAGTAGTGCTCGTGCTTGTACCAGTGCTGCTGCTGGTGCCGGTGCTGGTGCTGGTTCCAACGCTGGTGCCGCTAGTGCTAGTACTAGTTCCGGTGCTGGTGCTGGCAGTAGTGCTGGTGCTGGTGCCGGTGCTGGTGCTGTCAGTAGTGCTAGTGCTTGTACCAGTGCTGGTGCTCAAGGACGTAGTGGAAAAATCGGTAGGCACTGTCGTGATGTCCGAGATCGACGTAGGCACTGTCGTGATGTCCGAGATCGACGTAGACGTTGTCGTGGGGCATGTGAACGTTTGGGTCCTGGTACCGGTGGTGGTTTCCAAAGCCGTGACGACCGTGCTAACCGTCGTGGGGACATCGTTGAAGGTGAGAGTGATGTCCGTCGCGACAGTGACTGTCGTGGTAGAGGTGTAGGTCTGAGAGACGAGGATGGGCTGAGCAAAGACCGTCGGCATCAGCAAGATTTGGACAAGCGGAGGCGCAGGACAGTCCGTCCTCGTTGCTTGAGCGATCGTCGCGTCAAAGTTTGTCGTTTGAGCGATCGTCGCGTCAAAGTTTGTCGTTTGAGCGGAGGACGTCACCGCCATCATTGCCCATAGTAAGGCGGCGAAACTGCCCATCTTGGTCAAGGAAGACATTGTTGCTGGATTGCGGTGCACACAAGCTTCTAGGCAAGGCTTAATCGTAATGAATGAAAGAGGGTGTCTTGGAAGATGCTGCAATGAATGGATGTGGAACTATGGCGGCCTGCGCAGGAGCATATATACCCGTCTGGAGAGGCTTAAAAAACTGTTGACATCTGAATGTTCTTGACGACGGATTCCGCGGCTGCAAATCTGTAGAATGACTGGGTCCTACTACAGACGAGCATTTCCACTCCAGTTTGAAGTTGCGTCTAGATCTGTGGCGATTCTGTTTGGAAAGGGAGCGTCGTCCAATCAAAACGGCGCACTGAGACTGGAAATTGTTTGCAACATTCTTCGGTTGACAGCGCCTGCAAGGCGGGCGCCATTGTTTATGCCGAGGAATCCTGATCTTCGCCAAGGGATGAACTCTGAAAACATTCAAGTCCTGACTTGGCAAAGCTTTCACGCCCTGATTAGATGGCACTTTTTGCAGTCGTAGCTCGAGAACAGCCATGAACTTGAAAATGACCTACGTATGATGTGGACCAAATTTGCCTCATTATCGGCCGACACACTACATGCCTCAGCATTTGAGGGTTGATGGCCTGCTGGCCCAAATTGCTTATCGTGTGAAAATTCAGTCCCTGAATTGTGCTGTCACGAGGCTTCCAATCGATGTGGAGGAGAAATTTCTACCCACGTAGCAGCCTCGGATGTATTTTCGTTGCCGTATGATGCACAGAAAAAAGCCTTTGTAATGCGGTCCGATTAAACCTTTGAGTTTTCAGCAGTAAGTGCAGGACTTGTTGTGGAACGTAAGACTCATTGACGACAATGGATCTCCGATTCCTACGGCTGACGCGGCATGGACCTCGTGCCCGCCAGTGTACAATGTACAGGCTGTCGATCTGCTGTCACCTTCTGGCATAAAGATAGCCAAGAATGTGGGGCAGCCTCTGAGCGGGCCACCTGATGCTGGCTTAGAGGGAGCGGCGTGACCTTGTCCCAGGTTCCATTGCGAGGCTTACGGGTATCCTTTATTCTTCTGGGTGTGCCATGAGAAGGCATCGGAACAGCAAACATATCTGGTTCAATTCTCTTCAACGGTGCGTATCCTGGGCTGTCCCTCGGTCGGAGCTGGGTCGGGGTAAGAAATTCCAGCTGGACTCAAAAGCAGCCAAAAACTTCAAAAAGGTGAGTGTGAAGATAACAAGCGCAACATGCAATCATCAAAAAACCGTGGGAACTCCCACGCTTGAATCTTGCACAGCCATTCCAACGTGGGGATGTTCCCTAAATGGGCCATGAAACCGTGCGATGCGGAATCATTTTTCAACCGTATGACATGTAAGCCTTGGGTACGAAACTTTATGTGACGGTAGCAATAAAAGGGGACTTGTGGGACGCCCTTTCTTTGCCGCGGATCTGCGCAGTGCTCAGTGGCTGGCCTGCTATCACAATCTGACAGTTAGATATCAGGCCCATTCCTAGAGCGCCTTGGTGCCATCCGCAATGACTTGACAGGTGAAAGGTGAATTTGCATGTGAAACTTCGTAGGGAGGAATGTATGTGTGAAAATGGAATTACATGAAGCGGAGCTGGGTCCGCTCGGTTTGCTTATGTTATCCTATTTCAGATTTCAGGCTGCCCTGGAAATTATTTGAACATCTCAGTCGGAGAAATCCAGGAAAAATCGACATTCAGGATCATCGGGTGATAACATCCGGTGATAAAATTCGGCACGTAAGGGTCACTAGTAGCGGACAAGTCGAGGAGACGACCAACGGCCATTATTTTTTCAAGACTCAGAGTCAGTTGCGTAGATTCTGTCGATATCGCACAGCCGTCGGAATCGGAGGGCAATGCTGGGGCAAGTTGCCTAATCCGTAGAATCAGAAAGCCGGATGGATGAAATTTTCCGAAGGCATCCCGAGCCACCAGAGTCTGTCTCTGCACACGGACGGGATTCAAAAAGCGAGAGGGCTTCGTGTCGACATGGCACCTACATATGTATAGACGTTGCTTTTCCCGGCGACGGGTTGTTCAAAAATTAAACGGGCAAACACGCAATCGACCAAGGATGACGATTACTGAGTTAGCTAATATGTTAGTGCATGCAGCACATTGAATTGCCAGCTCAGAATGGCGGTATGGGCCATGTATATAGTTCCGGACTTGGGCGAGCTGTTGAGTGCTGGGTAGTGTCGTAAGTGTCAAGGTATACCCTTGGTCGTCCATATTGAGCGGTGCCGTGGGTAGGGAAATACAGCAGCCGTCACACCATCGGATGTAGCCGACGTGAAGACTTCGTGAAGATGTTCGGAATCCTTCGTATAGATGTCGGGTTCTAGTTCAACACGGCTTGAATCGATTTCTGTCCAGTCAGCGATTAAAATCTCCGTACCTCCTGATTTAGGAAACGTGCAGGCTCCGTGTAGAAGAAGTCAGACGTCAGTTCCAACAACTTGAAGCAGTCGTTTAGGCATGTATGCAGGTACGCCACCTCAGCGCGTCTGCATGTATCCACCGGCCACCTACCTAAGGGCAAACCGGTGTGAAGTCGGCGGGGCGCTCACGATCGGGAACTGCTTCCCGACCAAGACGGCGCAAGGCGCAACAACGGGCCAAAAAACACATCACCCAGGCGATGGGCATTTTAGCGCAAATCTTAAGGCGAGGGATGGGATGGGAAGGTCTGTCTCGATGATGGCAGTTGGCAGACCTCACAGCCAGAGAGCCTCCCCCATTTCCCCGGAAGCGGAAGCGAGTCAGGCGGGCGGGCGTGGGGCCAGTGAAGACCTAGTGATGGGCGATGGCACTAGCACTGACATCACGGACGACCTGACGGTGGTGGGTCGCGTCTGGGGGCAAAGCTTAAGCGCTGCGCTGCGCTGCTCGAATTTTTGCACCGTTGCACGTCAGTAGCTTGACCTAATCATTTATATATATATATAGGGCCTTGGGCCCGTCTGCCCGTCTGTCTGGCTTGTCTTGTCTTGTCCTATTACTACCTAGGCACTGCTCCTACAGCACAACCACCCAACCACCATGACACCACCCGCCGCCGACACGAGCAGCGCGCGCCGCTCCACCGACACGCACAACACGCACACCACGCACCACACGCACGACCACGACGGCGAGCCCATGACCCGCCGCACCTCGGCGCTAGACTCAGCGCCCAGCCTAGCCATGGGGGCGCCGGCCGGCTTCCCCGCCTTCACCACAGCACGGCGGCGCAGCACGGCGTCGCAGCAGTCGCGGGGGACGGTGCGGGACGAGGTCGAAGAAGTGGTTGCGCTGGCGCGGTCGGCGTCGCAGATCAGTGGCCATCACTCGCACCATGAAGCCGCGGACGACGTTCACGCGCTGCCGATGATTCAGCGGCCCAAGGCGGCCAAGCCCGGCCCGTACAACACGATTCGCGAGGTGCCGTCGGAGCTGAACACGCCGCTGTCGACGCGGCCGGCGTCGCCTGCTTCGGGGGCGGGGTCGGGGTCGCCGTCGGCCAACAAGTCGCAGTTCCGCGGGGCGGGCGGCGAGTTCGACGGGATCGAGGAGCACGTCGCGCAGGGCTACCCGGACGTGGGGCGCATCGCGTCGTGGCGGGGGGCTGCGATCCTTTTGGTGACATGCGGCGCGCAGCTGATGGACAACGTGTTCATGACGGGGACGAACATTGCGCTGCCAGCGATCCAGCGGACGTTTGGGGTCGACAGCGGAGACCTGCAGTGGCTGATCTCGGCGTACACGCTGACGTTTGGGGGCTTCCTGCTGCTGGCGGGGGTGCTGTCGGACCGGTACGGGCGCAAGCACGTCTTCTGCGCGGGGATGGGCATGCTGAGCGTGTGGACGCTGGCCGACGGGTTCGCGACGTCGTTCATCCAGATGGCCATTTTCCGGGCGTTGCAAGGCGTCGGGGCGGCCATGACGGTGCCCTCGGCCGTCGGCATCATTAGCAACTACTTCGTCGCGCAGGACCGGACGCTGGCGCTGACGATTTTCGGGGCCGCGGGCGCCGTGGGCTTCTGCCTTGGCCTGATCTTCGGGGGGTTCCTGACGTCGTCGCTCGGCTGGCGCTACATCTTCTACGTCGCCATGGCCGTGACCAGCGCGCTGGGCCTGATTGGCTTGGTCTTCCTGCCAAAGGACCGCAAGGAGGGGACCACGCGGCCGAAGCTCGACTTCATCGGCGCCGGGCTGTCGACGGGCGGGCTCATTCTTCTGAGCTTCGTCCTGTCGAGCGGTGGTGTGTATGGATGGGGCAAGGCCTTCATCATCGTGCTGCTGATCCTGTCCATCGCCATGCTGGGCGTCTTCACGTGGGTCGAGAAGAAGGTGGCCAATCCCATCATGCCGCTGTCGCTGTGGAAGATCCAGAACTTTGCCGCGCTGTGGATATCCGGGTTCGGTAGGTTTTTTTTTTTTTTTTTTTTCTCGCGTGTTGATCCTCTGGAAGAGCTAGCTCACTGACATTTTTGTTCGGCCAGTCATGTACGGCGGCTACCAGACGGTCATCTACTACACGACGCTGATTGCGCAGGAGATTGACAAGCTCAGCGCCGGACAGACAGCGCTGCGCTTCCTCCCCGTGAGTCCACCTCCCAGCAGCTGCATCCGCATGCGCAAGCAACTAACGGTTTCCTAGATGGGCGCCACGGGCTTCATCTTCTCGCTCGGCATGTCGCGCATGCTGGACTGGTTCAAGACGAAGCACCTGCTGATCGTGGGCATGACGCTGTGCGCGATTGCGCCGATCCCATCCGCGCTGATCAAAGAAGGCGACACCAGCTTCTGGAAGCACGTGTTCCCCGCGACGATACTCAGCGTGGCGGGCACGACCATCGTGTACTGCACGCTGACGGTGGTGCTGCTGGCCAGCGTGCCCGTCAACGTCAAGAGCCTGTGTGGCGGCATGATCAACACGGCCTTCCAGATCGGCAGCGGTGTCGGGCTGGCGCTGGCGAGCGCCGTCGTCCAGGCCGTCGACACCAACAAGGGCAAGGGCCCTATTGACCAGTATGGCACCGGGCTGTGGTGCTGCGTGGGCTTTGCCGTCGTTGGCTTGGTGGCTAGCACGTTTGGCGTCAAGAACGTCGAGCATGATTCCGAGGAGCCGGTGATGGCTCATTAGGGCGAGTGTGCGTACGATGGACGTTTCTGAGACAGAATCTCGGTTTTGTGTTCATTTTTTAGTTTCATGATATCCTAGACAACAGATTTGGTAACGATTTTACGACTATTTAGAAGAGATGGGTAGATTAGAAAAAGTATGGTTCTTTTTGATTATGGTTGTTGTTGTTGTTGTTGTTATTATTATATTTCGTAGCAGAATTAGATCGTGGCTGCGTCTTAGGTCGACGGATCGTGTTGAAAGGCTCTTCGCATATTAGCATTACATTATGTACGTCGCATCGTCTCAAGTTGTTAGGGTAGGTTCCGTCTGGTCAAAAAAGCCGGCGGTTATAGATGGCTCCACAGCCAGCACGCTGAGAGGTCCGTCGTGCAGGCCTCGCGGAGCTAACATAGGGTTAGAGGGCATTACCAGCACCATCACTGGAAGCTCATGGCGAGGATCTCGGGCTTCCTGGTCTCGAGATCCAGGATCATCTGCCCGAACAGGCCGTTTGCCCACGAGAACCTGCGCGTGCACGTCAGTATGTACGAACTCAACCAACCAACAACCACAGCCCACACACACTCACCACTGCCTCGTCCAGTCATTCCCATCAAACGAATTGACGCTCTCATGAATCAGGCCCAACCCCCCGGTACTCCTTAGCAGCTCGCCCAGCGCGCGCACAATCTCCTCCTCATCATCCGATGTCAGTATCTGCATAATACTGGCCATGGGCCACGCATAGCCCGGGCCCTGATGCGGTCCGCCAACAGCACTGATAACCGGGCCGCGCATGAAGTAGGGGTTGCGGTCGCTGAGGAGGCGGGCGCGAGTGCGCTGGTAGACGGGGTCGTCGCGGGGGAGGAAGCCCAAGAACGGGGCAGAGAGGAGAGAGGGGACGTTGGCGTCGTCCATGAGGTTAGCGGAGCCGAAGCCGTCGACCTCGAAGGCGTAGACGTCGCCGTCGCCGTCGGCCGCGCGCACCACCGCGTGCTGCGCTATGGCGTTCCGCAGAGCGAGAGCGCGCGCGCGCAGCGCCTCTGCGAGGTCCGCATCGCCAATGCCGGCTGCGATGGTGGCGGCGGGGCCCAGTGCCGCGGCGAGCATCATGTTTGCGGGGACGAAGAGCTGGAAGAGCGTCGCGTCGTCTGAGGGGCGGAAGGCGGAGCGCACGAGCCCCGTGCCGTTGGCGACGGGGTTACCGAGGCCGTTGTTGGCGAGGGTTTCGGTGGCGCGGGTGGTGCGGCGGGAGAAAGTGTAGGGGGAGGAGATGGGGCGGCCGTCCGGGGCGTACGTGGGCGAGTAGGTCATTGCGTCGACGACGGCGAGGAGGGCATCGACGGCGCGGGCCCAGGCGTGCTGGCCGAAGAAGGCCGTGTCGTTTGTTGCGGCGTGGTAGTCGGCCGAGAGCTGGAGGAAGGCGGCCAGCGAGTCGAGCTCGTACTTGCACTCGAAGACGGTGGCATTGGAGTAGGGCGGAGTGACGGTGTCGTCGGCGGCGGCCGAGTTGGTGTCGGGCGGGATGGCGGACTCGACGGGCGGCTGGAAGGAGTTGCAGTAGGGGGCGGTGAGGAGGTAGCGGGCGTGGAGGTTGATGGCGCCGCGGAAGAGGGCGGCGAGGCTGTCGGGCTGGGAGGAAGGGCGCAGCAGCGAGCGGTACGACTGCAGCTGGTTGGCCGAGTCGCGCAGCCACATGGCGTTGATGTCGCCGGTGATGATAAAGGTGAGTTCTTCAGTGGAGCCGTGCCACTTGATGGCCGTGTCGAGCGTGTTGGGGAAGGCGTTTTCGAACAGGCGCGCCAGGTCCGGGTCGCGAATGACGCTCTTCAGCCGCGCGATGGTCTCCTCGACGTCCGACGAGTTGAAGGTGCGGCAGGCGGGCGCGGGCCGCTGGTACGGGAGCTGTTGGGGTCCGGTCGAGTAGGGCGCGTGTCGCTCTTTGGAGTAGTCGAGGTAGTCGGGGCATTGCGCCAGGACGAGCTGGACAAGCTGGACGAGGAGAAGCGCAAGAAACCACATACTGACTGACTGACTGACTGGCAATTGAAGTGGACAAAGGAAATGGGAGAGGAGACATAGTTACCCCGCAACTGCCAGGCATGACGTCGAATCATGCAGACTGTCGATATTGGTGCATCCGTGGTCATACGTGCATCCGCATGGGGACCAGGCCCAAGCCGTCACCATCCCATCGCAGACAATCCCCGCGCCGTCCGGTCGTGAAAGCGTCCCTAGTGTCATCGAGCACAAAACGTTGAGAGTCTGTGTCATGGTGTTTAGGGTGGCACCTCTCCCCACTCGAGCTTCCCCGGATCTGCAGCTCCACCTCCACCGCCATGTCCCACCACTCAACCACCGCACCTATTATTCCAACCACTACCACAGCCACACAACAATGACCACGCCACCGCCTCTCACCGGCATCCGCGTGCTCGAGTTTGCCGGCCTAGCTCCAGGTACGCACGCACACACACACACACACACGCGCGCGCGCGCGCAAATGCAGCGTCCACTGACTGACTGCCTCGCAGGCCCCTTCGCCGGCCTCATGCTCGCCGACTACGGCGCCACCGTCATCCGCATCGACCGGCCCACGCCCACCTCGCACGGCACGAGCACCCCGCCGCCACCGACCTCGGACCTCCTGACGCGGCGCAAGACGTCCATCGCCGTGGACATGAAAACGGCCGCAGGAGCCGCGCTGATCAAAGCCCTCGCCGCGCGTGTCGACGTGCTCATCGACCCCTTCCGGCCGGGCGTGCTGGAGCGGGCCGGCCTGTCGCCGCGCGAGGTGCTGCTGCCCGCGAACCCGCGGCTGGTCGTCGCGCGGCTGACGGGCTTCCGGCGCGACGGGCCGTACGCGCGCATGGCGGGCCACGACATCAACTACCTGGCCGTGAGCGGGGTGCTGGGGATGCTAGGGCGCAAAGCACACAAGCCGTACGCGCCGGGGAACCTCGTGGCGGACTTTGCGGGGGGCGGGGCCATGTGCGTCGTCGGAGTGTTGATGGCGCTGGTGGAGCGGGCGCGCAGCGGGCGCGGCCAGCTCGTCGAGGCGAACATGGTCGACGGCGCCGCGTACCTGGCTACGTTTCTGCGGCTGGGCACCAAGAGCGCGTGGTGGGGGCGGCCGCGGGGCGAGAATCTGCTGGACGGCGGGTGTCCGTACTACGACGTGTACGCGACCAAAGACGGGCAGTACATGGCGGTTGGGGCGTTGGAGGCGCAGTTCTTCAGCGCGCTGCTGGCCGGGCTGGGGATAGACGCGGCGAGGCTGCCGTTCCCGCGCGACGACCGCCGCGCCTGGCCCTGGCTGCGCGTTGCCTTCACGGCCAAGTTCAAGAGCAAGACGCGCGCCGAGTGGGAGGCCGTGTTTGCGGGCTCGGACGCGTGCTGCACGCCGGTGCTGGGGCAGGCGGAGCTCGAAGCGGCGGGGTACGCGCAGCGGCCGGCGGTGGGGCTGCGGGGGTCGCCGGGATGGGCGGTCGGCGACGAGGAGAAGAGTGAGGGCGAGGACGAGGTTGCAGACAAAGGGCAGGGCGTGGGAGTTGAGGGGGCCGGGTGGAGCGAGCGGGGGCTAGGGGCTGGAGAGGGCGGGGAGGAGATGCTGGCGCGGTGGATGGGGTGGTCGCGGGGGCGGCAGTACGGCGTCGAGGGGGGTGGGCTGGTGTTGCTGCATAGGGCGAAGCTGTGAGTGTATGTATGTGGCGCGCTTTATACCCTTTTGCTTTTGTTCATTCGAAGCAGTCACTGTGGAATACTCTTTGTCAAGTGACGAGCCCAAGTCCTAAATAGATAGGGGTGAGAAGGTCTTCGATCATATATATACTATAAGTGTCTTGACTAGATTTCTCTGTGCAAGCGTTATATCTCCCATCTACAGTACCTACACGAACAATCGCTTTTATTCTTATACTCACAACCCACAACCAACCAAACCAACCAACCAAACCAGACCAAGCAGTGACACCCCCTCACAGCACACCAAAGCAAACAAAACAAAATAAACCAGAGCAACTCAAATCAAAAGCAACAAGGAACAAGGAAAAAAGAAGACTCAGGTATCCACCATAAGCTACAGCTATAGCCACAGCTATAGTAAAAGAAAAGAAAAGAAAAGAAAAGGAAAAAGAAAATATACACATACACAAGATATACACGCAGCTCCGCTCTCCATCTACCCACCCGTCCACCCACACATCCACCCATCTGCATAGACCGCAACCGTGCGTACGTACGTGACGAGTTACAAATAGCTAGCTCTACGGATGGGCTGTATCGAGAGCAGAAGCACCAAGTCTACAACAAGCACCAAAACCACGCAGCATATGTCCGCCCAGCCAAGTCAGACATGTCTACCTACCTCCCCACCACACGCGCCAACGCGTAGCGCGCGCGCGCCACCGCCTCCCGGGCTCTCGTCCGCTCGTCGCCCGCCCCCCAATCCACCTTGGCCGCACCCCTCTCCCGCACCACATCCCTGACCTTGACCTCCGTGTCCTTGAGCGCCTCGCGGCCCCTCTCGCGCACATCGGCCGCCCACCTCGCCCTTGCTCCCTCCCACACCCGCTGCATCCGACGCAGACTCCACACGGCGCCTAGGGCCGCCACGGCGCCGGCCTCGAACGCCGACACCCCCGAGAACGAGACGTACGTCAGCGCGCTCAGGGCCCCCGTCATCGTCGTCGTCGACGCCGTCTGCAGCAGCAGCTTTTGCGCCAGCGCCTGCAGCGGCGGTATGCCCGTGGCCGAGAGGTGCGCGCGCGCCAGCGGGATCTGCATCGGCCAGGGCTTGAGCTCGGGGAGGCTCGCGGCATCAATGTCGTCCGCGGGGCGGGCGTCGTACTTCCTCAGCTCCGAGAGGCGGGGAGGGCCATCCGGGAGCTCGCCAAGGCGCGGCACCGGCACCGCCGTGCTCTTGAGCATGCGCCGCTCGGGCATGGCGTCCGCTTGCGGGTCGCCGGCGAAGAAGCCGGCTTCCTCGATGCGGCCTGCGACCCAGACGATTTCTTTCTCGGCTTCGGTCAGCCAGCGCCGCTCCAGGATGTCCGAAGTGATCATGCCGACGTCGTCGACGCGCCAGAGCAGCTTCCACCACGCAATCTTGTGCCAGTATTTGCTGGCGAAGGCCATGTCGAGCTTTTCGCGGAGCTCGTTGTGTGCGTGCTCAGCCCACACGCGAAGCGATTCGAGAATTTCGGCCTTGGTAGCTTCGGAGATGGCAGAGTTTGCAAGCTCCTGCAGGCGCTGCGCATCGTCGATCTTGATGTTTTCGTGGGCATCCGCGAGGAGAGATTTAATGAGGTTCTCCAGGGCAGGCTTCATGTCCGCCGGGGCAGCTCCTTCCGCAAGCCATTTGGTCAGTACATGCAGACCGCTCCTGTGCCATCCTCGCTCGTAAATCATCGAGTTTGCTATCGACTCCCTGAATTTTTCGATGGCTTCCGTGGCGAGCTCTGGGTCGATCACGACATATCTGTCCGTGGAGCTCTGGTCCACCTCCTCTGCAGGAGCTGGCAGTCCCAGTGCTACCTTGACCGTTTGCGCCGGGATGTCCTGCTCCGCTTGCGTAGCCGTGAAGCGTCCGTACGCGACTGTACTCTTGACACCATCGCCGAAGACGATGGCCCTATGAACAGGATAAGTGACCATTGTCAATCTGCCGCTTGCCGACGTAGGCGTCCGCAAGGTCGGTACGAGAATGGCGTCCTTTGGTCTGTCCTGCTCGGACGTGATGCTCGGCGCGGCCGTGTTGACATTGAGAGAGGATATCAAGATTTCGATATTGTGCTTCTGGAGGATTCTCGAGGGAACGGAAATGGTGCGGAGCAGAGGGTTGTAGGGATGGACGTCGGTCTCGTCGCCATGCCTGTAGCAGCACTCGTCAGTCATGCGCCAGCACAAGGCCCAACCACGGGGATCCGCACCGCAGCAAGATGGCCTGGGCCTCATCTTGACCCTTCTTCTCAAGCTCTTTCTCCCACACGCCCTTGTCGCCCAGCGGGTCGGCGAGCAAAAGTCGGACGAGCCGCTGCGCGGCTCTCTGATCGCCCAAGCTCAGCACTGGTCCGTGAAAACTGCATTAGCGCACCATCGCGTGCGTGTTGGCGGGCCATGCACTCACCAGCTATCCGTACGACGGGGTCCGTGGTTTCCAGTCCCCGCAGCGCGAGCTGGAGCCGGCTCAGGTTGACGTAGTTGGCCGCGGGGCCCTTGAGCGCGTCCAATGTCTGGTGAAGCTCCTTCAGCCGCGGCGGGACGTCGACGGGCGCATTGATGGCGGTCCTGGAGGCCAGCGTCGCGGCATGGCGGCGTCGCGCGAAGAATTGCGCGCGCGTGCGAGCTGCGGCCGGGGCGGACAGGCACGACGGAGCATCACCGAGGCGCCATAGCGAGCACGAGGGGCAGAAGAAGAGATCGGATGGCGGGAGCTTCGTCGCCGGGGGGATCCGTGGAGGCATTGGGAAGAGTTGCGCCTCTCAGCGGGTGTGGTTGCCGTGTTTCCACGTCTCGCGCGCCAAGCATGCGGGTGGAAAGCTCCCGCCGCCCATTTCGTCATGCGCGAGCATCAAATAGATAGTAAGTCGTGGCCACTCTCAACATACATCCCATTCAACTCAAGGTATTCAAAAAGAAGTCGTTTCATGATCAACTCAACTGGGCCACATGCATTCATACAGCTCTCTTCCAGTACGTGGTCATCATCATGAGTCCCAGCTCCCCTGCAGCAATCACGATACCGACTTTAAAAAACAAAAAAAGAGAGGCACTAGGCCATCTGTGCCTTGCTATAGCTGAACCCTTTACGGACAAGCCTCCACATCCCTCGCTATGAATTAACGGGCGACAACGCTTGTGAGTTGCCGGGTATCTTAGCTGCGGTTGCCTCCACGAGAAGAAGAGCCAGACCTGATTTCTTTTGTCAGATGGTGCATGCATCAGTGAGCCGCTCCAAGACTTACATGCTAATCCTTCTTGCGACGGTCGCGAGTCCCGCGTCATTGTCGGCCTCCTGGGTCGCCTTCTCAAGCGCCTGCTGCCTGCTGCTTTCCTCCGATCGGCGCACCTCCTCCTGGGTCGGCGGCAGGCGCTCGTTTTGCAAATCGACCTTTCGGGCGTCTTCGAAACTGTGGATGGCCTGCTTGATACCTTCGGCGCCAAGCATAAGCGTGCCGGCGGGCAGCCTGCCACCAGATGCCGTCTTTAGCTCCGTGACACGCTCGGACTCTTCACGCAATACCTGGAAGACACGAGAGAGGCGACCAATGGCAAGAATCTTGTTCTTGATGGCGCGGCGCTTGAACTCGGTGGACTCGGGATCCATGCTGGAGAGCGGTGGCGACGAGGGGCCGGAAGATATCGAGTTCGGCGTCTCCTCCTCGAGTTCCTCCTTGGAGCAGGTGTTGAGAATAGCAATGAGCATATCCGTGACTGCCAATGGTTAGTTTCCTGACGGCAGTTTTCATCGCCCAGCCGACTTACTCTTCTCTCCAACGAAAGGTAGCGACCATGTAAAGACATCCATAAAGTTAGGCAGCCAGTATGGGTGAGGCGTGCAGTCTGCGAAAGCCTGTTAGCGGGTGCGAGACAGCTAATCCGAAAGTGCACTTACTGAACTGCCTAATGTTCATAACGTTGTTCTCATACTTCAAAACGGCGGCCTTGTTGTTGTACACATCCAAATAGTTGGGGGCACTGAAAATGGTCATGACACTGGGGAAGCCCGTCGTCCTCGTCTTGCGGTACATGCGGTAACCGGCATCTTGCGCCTCGTGCGCACGGATGATGGAGAGCAGGTTGTTCTTCTCCAGGAACGCGCAGGCGGCGGGGTAAGAGAAGAAGTAGGAACAACCACGGACGTGGTTGTGAACGAAAAACTCCGAGGTCTTTTCCTGTCCAAACTCCTCAAGCGGGTCTGCCCAGAGGATATCGCACATCAGACCGTGAGTGGGCGGCTCCCGGAAACGGTCAATCTGCAAAGTCATCAGCCGAGAAACTTCCAGGCATGCACAATGCCACTCACGCTCTTCAAGTCCTCCAGGGTGTGCAATTCGGGGCTCAGGCCACCGTGAATGCACAGGAACTGCTTGTTCATGACTGCCGCCAGCGGCAAAGCGCAGAACGACTCCATGCATGCCTCGTAGATAGCCTCGGAGTATTTGTGCTTGCATTCCAGCTTGAAGGTGAAGTAGTCGGTCAAATGCCTGCACTCGTGGTTGCCTCGGAGCAGCCACAGCGTGTTGGGATACCAAATCTTAAGCGACCAGAGGTACAGGACGCACTATGACGCGGTCAGCGGGCGCAAAAGCAATTCGGTGGCACAGACTTACCTCGATGCTGAAATAACCGCGGTCGACGTAGTCACCGAGGAACAGGTAGCGAGTCTCGGCAGGATCGCCGCCGACCTCGAACAACTTCATCAGATCGTAGTATTGGCCGTGGACGTCACCGCAGACGGTGATGGGGGCGTCCATCTCCAGCAGGTTCGGCTCCGACCTCAGAATCTCCGTGCCCTTCTTGATGATCCATAGCGCTTGCTCCTCGGTCAGGCGACCTTCGCGGTAAAAGTGCTGCTTGAGGAATTGGAGGTTGGGCTTCTCGGGGTCATTGGGAGACAGGAACTGCTCCTGGGTGGGCGGGTGGAAGGCGGGGGCCTGTACGTCTGGACGCGCAGCGTGTTAGCGGGCATCCTCCTGAGACGTGTCCGTGGCAAAGCGTTCGGGGGCGAATCGCAAGGTGCGCGAGGCAGTTTCCGGGATCTGACACGGCATACCTTTGCAGACGCGCTCCAGGGTGCTCACTTGGGAGCCGTCTTCCATGGTGTGGAGGGTGAAGTCGATCTCAGGGACGGGCCGCTTCTGGCTGACGGCGCGCACAGCATTTTCCATGTACTGCTCGCTGCTCATGGGGGTGTCTTGTTCCATGATGACCGCGTGTCGAAGAATCTGTGCAGAGTGTGGTTGTAGGGATAAGAGGGGGAGCAAGCCCCGTGTGGCGACGATGTGCTACTTTTCTTGATGACGGAACCAAGCTCGCGCTCACGGCTCAGGAGGGCGGGGCAGCGGGCAAGCGAGCAGGCGGACGGCTAGCGAGTGCGAGAGATGGACGGACACGCGCGCACAGGAAAAATGCGAGATGGCTGAGGCGGCGGGTGGGAGTTGAGGGTCGAGGGTTGGGGTTCGGCGGGCGAGTTAAGCACGTCGAGGTGGTTACGAGCGAAGCACTGAGCCGCGGTCGTCGATCCCGTCAGCGTGGCCACGGGCAAGGGTCCAGAGGTGTTTGGGGGGCCCTGCGAACGCGAGACAGAATAGGTAATGAAGAATGCGGCGATTGCACACGGCACGCAGTGTGAGTACTAAGTGAAGCAGCAGTGAGTGAAGCAGCTGAAATGCCCCCTCCGTCCCCGTCCATCGCCAAATCCCCGGCAGCGGGGCCAAAAAGGAGACCCAAGGGCGCCACAAAAGATCACCCACCTCACATCTCGGCAACTCAATCTCGCATCGCTTATTAAATGCTGCTGGATATTTATACGCATGCTCTGCTGTGCCCCCAGGACGCGTTGGACTTGTTGCATTGCGCCGTGTCCATCTCCATCTCCGAGCCCAAACGGCTAGCCTCGCAGCATCATCTAAACCGCAGCATAGCCACACACAAACGGAGCCCGCCAGTCACCAAACCTTGCCTACTATCCAAGTGCCAGCGGATCTACCGTCTCTGACTCGACGATAAACAGCTACGGCTGACGTCTTCCCGACCCTGCCAATGTCAAGTCTGGTTACAGCATTTGAGCGGATCAGCAAAATTCCGACTCACAAAAAGGCGTTAGGTTGTAAACAGTCAACGCTAAAAGGAGACAGGGGCAAATGTCACGGGAGACACCTTGCTAACAGCTTTCATCGAGTTGTCTGTCATAACGACATCGCTATCCCTAAAGTACTAACTAGAACCACACTTTGCACCTCACGTGCCTGCCAGTACGACAATACACCTACGAGTAGAGTAATCGATATATCAACAGCAAAGAGCTATGGATTCGCCTGAATGCTCTCCGAATTTACACCTCATGCGTCTACTTATTCCATTCCAGCCTCGGATAGTTTCCCATCCTTTTTGATCATCCTGCCGACCCCTCAACCATTTACAACCACTTACAAAGTAAAAATTCTATACCTACAGATCATTCGTTACTTGAGTAACTACACCTAACACATAAACTCATGCAAAGTTATATATCCATACGAAGGGAAAAAGATACGGGGTGCTGAAGCACTCTATACGAATACGAGAACACTAAGATAGGTCTAACAACATTTTTCAAAGTATATCCGGCACCATGCTCAATATCTATACTCAGGTATCAAGTCTACTCATCTACGTCAAACATCTCTACCAACCCACCACCCATCATCACAACAACTTCTCTTCCTGTTTCGCCCTCTCCACCTTCCAAGCCTCAAAGTCAAATCCCAGCTCCTCCAAAGTCCTGACATTAGCCCTCTCCTCGCCTCTCTCATTAAACGCCTTCTTGATCTGCGGGAACCTCTCACGGCACCAGAAGTGCCACTCGGTCCACTTCGGTGGCGTCTTGCCCACGCCCTCCTCCTCGCGCTCGGCCATGGCGGCCCAGTCATGCAGCTCATTGATGAAGATTGCATCCTTCGGGAAAGCAAGCGTGTGGAAATCGGTGCCGGGGCCGTTCTCCTTCAGCGTCTCCTGCTCCCACTGCTCCATCTCAGCGAGCGGCGGCAGGGCGAGGCGGCCGGCGTACACGCGCGCCAGAATGGCGGCTTGCGCCTCGGCGACGGGGAAGGGAATGACGCGCTGGTTCAGCACGAGAGTGCTGAGCGTCGGGTGCGGCGCGTAGAAGACGTGCTGATACGTGTTGTCGACGCGGTTGCCCTCGGTGATGAGCGGCGGGCCGTCGACGTCGGAGATGAAGGGCAGAGAATAAAAGTAGCCGGTACAGAAGATAATGGCGTCGATGTCGGACTCCTTGCCGCCGTCGGCGAAGGTCGCGGTCCGCGTGTTGACGTCGAGATGCGTGATCGGTGGGTACTCTTTCCTGTCTTTTGCGGGCCCGGGTGACATGTACGATTCGGTTTTGATGGAGGCGATCAGAGGTTGCTGCACCACTCCTGAAAGCTGGGCGCCGATATCGAGACCCGAGGCGCTGTTTCCAACGACGATGACTTTCTACATGCCATTAGCATACTTACGTGACACAGTGAGAACAGCCAGTCCAACCTTGTCTTTGAACACGTCCGGCGTTCTGTAGAACTTGGAGTGAGAGATGCTCTTTGGGGATGTCTGGTACCACTCCTTGATACCCTCAATATCCGGGATATACGGTGTGTAGTAGTGGCCGTTTGCAACAACGACAGCGTCAAAAACCTCTTCTGTCTGCTCTCCAGTCACGATGTTCTTGGTCGTGACGCTCCACGACTCTTCTTTTACTTCTTCGTCGCCTATCTGTTCCGCCTTGGAGCCGATGAAGCGCACATCCACGACCTGGGTCCGGAAGCGGATGGTCTCGAGGACGTCCTCTGCATAGCCTTTCAGATACTCCTTGACGCTCGCGTGCTTGGGGAAGAGCTGGATGTCGTCTGGAAATGCATGGTCCTGGAAACGCATCAACATGCGCGGGATGTTGGTCTCCAGGCGGTCATAGATTGGCGAAAGGAACTGGACCTCCTTGTCCTCTTTAGACGCTCCGTTGACGGTTCCATTGGTAGCGGCATTGGCTTTGCCCTTGCCAACGCCATTCACGTTCTTGCCAATCCAGATCGGCTGATCCAAATCCTTGCTGGAGGGACGGGTTTTGGGGACGGCAAAGCTCCCGTCGTCTCTGTCCTCGGCAGTGTAATTCCAGATTCCGCCCGGGGCACTTCGCTGCTCAAAAGCAACAATCTTCTCAAATTTGTTCTCTGCCCTCAAATATCTGGGACGGCGTGAGCAAGGGTTCCACCGGGAGTGTCGGAAGTGAAGATGCGCAATTATGACTTGAACACAACCTACTTCAGAGCTGCCAGACCGCTCGGGCCCGCACCAATGACGGCAACGCGCCTGGCGTTGAATCTGAGACGTGGTGAAGCAGACATTGCTCGGGAAAGAAGAGACGAGGGCAGACGCGGTGCTGGCATGGGGGGGTGTGGTTTAATAACAATATAGCAACGGCTTCTCTAGCGGTGCTAGGGTAGCAGCGGGAAAACGGCAAAAATCAAGGCGGCCGGGGCTTGGGGGCGTAAAGGAATAGGAAAATGTCAGCAAGGCAGCCATCCTCACATGTTATTCATGATCTGACTCGCCCATCACGACATCGGACACGCTCGGTGCTCGGTGGGTGCCCCGGCTTTTTGCACGATTCCCTGCATATGTCATGCCACGGGCCTTATCTACTGATACCGACTCGCGTGCCGCGGATATGTAATAAGTCGTGTCCGCCCACAGTGGTGGGAGTGACGATGGACGCCAATTGCTGGCAAAAATGAAGTAAAGTGACTCCCGAAATAAGGTATATAATAACAACATCCCGGGGTGTTTACATTATCACCTAAGAATCGTTTCCAATTCTGTGCCCATGTCTATGCCGGCGCGAACCGGCTACAACCGCCATAACCACCACCACAACTTCACCTATGTATAAGTGCTAAAATTCACTGGCACTGACGAGCACTGCTCATTGTAGCTGGAGAAAGCATTCGTCACCTAAGTGTCTCTACTACTTGCATAAAACGAGCCATACAGATCCCGGCCACAGACAGCCTCATGATCTCATCTGCACTACGACAATGAATTCTGTGACACCTGAACTACCTCAATCCGACAGTCCCATCTCTCCGCAGCTCTACACGAGCTTCCCACCACCAAAGCCAGCAACAATGGCCGTACCCACGCAAGCGGCCATGACAACAACGACAGCGGCTCCGCTCGCGGCGTCGGCGCGTCGGCCACGGCGCCCAAACCAACGGTAAATCCTCGTCATCGAAACCCCCCGCCGAGATGCCCAAAGCTCCCTCCCCCCCAGCTCCGCTCGACGACGATGTAAGGTTAGGTGTTAGGCACACCCGCACGCAGCAGCAGCAGACCATCTCCTACGTACGATGCTCGCAACAACAACAACGCTGCGGACCGCACGCGCGCAGACGCTCCGCCGCGCCTTCTCGACGACGCGAAGCAGCTTCATGGCCGCACAGCAGCAGCAGCAGCAGCAGCAGCAGCAGCAGAAGCTGCGCATTGGCTACGTGCCGGGTGCGTCGCGCGACCCGCTCCACCATTGACACTTGAGGAACAGCGTGCGCTAACGAACGGGTGCGGCCCGCCGCCCGCGCAGAGCACTTCTCGACGCCGCTGCACTTTGCGCGCAAGCACTTTGGGCTGCGCGCCGAGCTCGTGCCCTTTCCGTCCGGCACCGGGCATATGATCCAGGCGCTGCAGGGCGCGGAGCTGGATGTCGGCATTGGCTTGACTGAGGGGTGGGTTGCGGGCATTGGCAAGGCGATTAAAGAGCATGGCAGCGCTGAGAAGGCCGGGTATAAGCTCGTGGGGACGTATGTTGAGACGCCGCTGTGTTGGGCTATAAGCACTGGGGTCAAGCGCGACGATATCGCTGGTGTGGAGGCGCTGAAAGGGAAGAAGATTGGCGTGAGTAGGATTGGGAGGTATGTATGGGGCAGACACGGATGCCTACGGTCAAGATTGGTTGCAACAGATCTTGGTTGTGGGCAACGAAAGCACGCACACGTGGTTGAAAGGCATGGCTGATATTTGTTCTTTCTATCGACAGTGGATCCTACGTGATGGGCTTCGTGCTGGCGGACCAGCACGGCTGGCTAGCCAAGGCAGGCGAGGCGCCATTCGAAGTCGTGCCGCTCAACACCTTTGCCAAGCTGCGCGAAGGCGTCAACGGCACCGACGCCGACTTCTTCATGTGGGAGCACTTCACCTCCAAGCGCTACTACGACAACGGAGAAATCAAGCGCATTGGTGAAATTTACACGCCCTGGCCGAGCTGGCACATCGTCGCTCGAGACCCGCTGGACACCAGAATGCAACCCATGAGCGATGCCATCAACCAGGGCATTTTGTGGTACACCGAGCATCAGGATGAGGCAATTGAGTACATCTCAACCGAATTGGATTATTCGGCTGAGGATGCGAAGGAGTGGACCAAAACGGTGAGATTTGCTGGAAACGTCCGCGGTGTTGACCCGGCCGTCGTGGAGAAGACGATTGATATTCTTGGTAAGGCTGGTGTACTTGACGCGAGCAAGTGTGGCGTGGAGGATATGGTGGCCATTAAGCGGGAGGAGCGCGCGAGAAAGTAATTGATTCCAATATCACCGCTACTCGGGCGCGGCAATGGGGATGAAAGTCTTTTAGGCAGAGCAAAGGCTTATGCTTCGGCCAGCGCGGCCGTCTTCTTTCCGCCTCCTGCAATCAGATCCAAGAAACCCTTTTTGCTCATTTCCGTGACCTTGTCTTCCCGCTTGCCCATACCCACGACACCGGTCTTCTTGCTCTGCCTCGCCGCCTCTTCACCCTTCACTTGGGCCGCTCGGACCGCGTTGAACAGCTTGACAACACCACGCTGAGCCGTCTTTTTGAGACGCTTTTCCTGTTCCACAATCGCTGCCGTCGACGTCTCCGAGCTCTCCAAGCCCATTACGTCCTTGACCCTGCCCTTGTCCAACAAATGCTTCTTCTCGTCGCGAATCTTGTGCCGCGCCTTGGCATCAAGGCGCGCATCTATGAGTTCCTTGCTGGCCTGTTCCGCCGTCTTGCTGCGCGACAGAATAGGGTCGGCGCGCTTCGAGGTGGTGAGCTTCGTGCCCAAAATCTTCTGCATGGATGTCGCGAACATGTCGGGATCGTTGCGCTTCTTCTTGGTTCGGCCGGTCATGGATTCGGCGGCGTCTCCGTCTGAGCCCTCGGCATCGGACTCGTCGAGGCCCTCATCGGAGGCGGCATCGGCTTCCAGGTCTTCCTCGGGGAACTCGTCGTCCTCGACTTCTTCCTCCTCGGACTCCTCTGTCTCTGGCTCGGGCTGCTCCTGCTTCTTCGCCGGCGCCTTGGCTTTGATCGCGGACTTCAACTTCGGCTGCTGGGCGGGCTTGACTTCTGCGACAGGCGCATCGTGCTCGTCGGCGCTCTCATCTTCGCTTGAGCTGTGGTAGTTGGTTTGGCGCCTGACCCTCTTTGTCTTCTTGTTCTTCAGGTTCTGCTCCGTCCTCCTCCTCTTAAGCGCGACAGGCGTTCTGGAATGCGATGGTGGCATTTCGGCGACGTGTGGGTGTTTTGGTGTGAGCCTCAGCAGCTGTGGCCGAAACTTTTCGATGCGGTTTGCATGACATGATCCGTGCGCAGAGCCAGGGCTGGCAGAACTTCCACACCGCCTCGGCAACCGCCTCCTTGCGCCGCAGCCCTCACTCTGGCAGGCTGGACGTGGCACCAGTGCTACCCGGCGAATGGATGCTTGACGTTGAGAATGCCGCGTACACGCGTGGGTAGGAATGGGTGGTTTGCCTTATGTTTGACTTCACGCGCCATCCAGTGAAATCACTTCAATAACAGTCAATCTAAATATCAGGGGAAAGGTATGGCAATGAGGACGTAGCATCGCATCATCAACATCGCGCATACGACCCCGGTGGAGTCGAAGAGTAGCGGCTATTGGGGTCCAAAAGCCGTATATTTGCCCAAATACTATACCTAGCCATCGCAGTGGCTCTTTCCCGAGAAGAAATCCTTGGTATTTTTACAGCGGGGAAGCCGATGTCCGTTCATATATCATACAGTTCGTCTAGGCCAAGCCAAAAACGAGAGCCCTGTTGCGCCAGACTGACCCAATTGCGCCATTTTACACGCGCCGCGTTCTTGTTCTCTCTCTTTCTCACTCACATCGTCCCATATACAGCATCCGCATATGCACCTCCGACCCTGCCTATATCCATGAAATCTAGGGTATCCTTCAAACCCGCTTTACTTGAAATCGCTGGCCTGCAGGTTCCGCGTCATGCTTGGCAGGCGCACAACCAGACCATCCAGCTCCTTGCTCATCTTTATCTGACAGCCGAGGCGGCTCGTCTCAGTCAGACCGAAGGCCAAATCCAGCATGTCGTTCTCGTCGTCGTCGGGCTCGGTCATCCGGTCGAACATGTCGGCGTCCTCGACAATGACGTGGCAGGTACTGCATGCGCAGGAGCCGCCGCAGGCGCCTGGGAAGAGAAGGATAGGTTAGCTCGGAGATGCGGAAGATGGGTTCGGAGGTCCGAGGGCGGCATCGGGCATGGTCGCGCTCCGAGCCGCGCACTCTCGAACATGCCCGGTTGCGGCGAGGCCGCGGGGAAGACTCGACTTACCCTCCATCTCGAGGTCATTGGCCTGGGCAATGTCGAGCAGGTTGTCGCCATCGGCGACCTGGAACGTGTGTGAGTCACCCTCCTTGTCGATGAAGGTAACGCTGCGCCTGCACTCAATCAGCGTCTGGCTGGCGTACGATGCACGGCAGAAGCCAATGGTTCGCAGTGTGTCTTACTCTTCACCGGGCTTGGGCGGGGTGATGTGCCCGTGGGAAGCGGTGGGCGTGGCGGAGAAGTGTCTCCGGGGGCGTTGGAAGCGCGACAGCGGGGAGAGGCGGGGGCTAGGTGCTGCCGAGCGCGCAGCGGAGGTGGAAGAGAGGAAGCGGCGGCATGGCGGGTGGGCTTGGGCGGAGAGGAAGCGGCGCGGGAGAGCAGAGGCGGCTTGGCGGCAGGCACGCAGGGCGGCGTCGGAGGGAGGCATTGCTGGAAGACAGAGAGACAGAGGAGTCTTGGTGGTGGTGAGGGAAAGACTCACTGTCCCTCTGTAGAAAATGTTGCCGTCACCGACCGTCCGTGCAGGCGTCGCGGATTACGTCCGGGCTCCCATTGGTCCCACCTATTGGTCGGCGGGCGCACAAGTTTCACCAGCCACAACCCAGCAAGACAAGGCAGGCAAGCTCTCCCGCGCATTCCCACCCCAGCGCAGCCATCATGTCCGACGTCGCTTCTGCCCATCCCTCGCTCACCCTCATGGCCACCTCGCGCGACCAGCCGAACCCGCTGCGTCCCTACTACAAGCCGCCCTCGATCGGCCTGCCCCCCGACCCCACGCCCAATGCCACCTCCGCCCACCACTATGCCAGCTCCTCCGCCCGCGGCCAGAGCCCCTCCGCTTCGCCGCCGAAGCCCAGTTTCGGCTCCCAGGCACGCGACATCCTGAGCGACCTCGATTACGGCGTCGACTTGAGCCTGGGCGACGGCAGCCCCAGTCTGGCCGAGCTCACTAAGAAGCTGCTTGACCAGGCAGTGTGGAACTACACGTCGGTGCTGTTCGCGCAGCCTTTTGAGGTCGCGAAGACGCTGTTGCAGTGCAACTTGGCACCGGGCTCTGAAGGCCCCGTCGAACGTAACTCGCTGACCGTTGACGATGCGCGGAGGCGAGCGGAGAACTTGCGACGCGCAAAATACGCTGAGGTGGGCTTTGTTCTGCCATCGACGTTGGAAGAAAAAAAGCTCCCCGGCTAACCCGTGCTTCTTAGCAGTACTCCGACTCAGACTCTGGCGACGACTCTCCTTCTTACTTTTCCTCGACCGCCCCCCGCCCCGCTCGCTCCCCTTCAAGTTCAGACTCCCAGTCGAACAGCCGCCCGCAGAACCCTTCGACCGCATCGGCGTCCCGGATACCTCCCTCCCACCCTTACAAGCTGGACCTCAAGCGCACCGACTCGCTGCTTGAAGCTCTCTCGCAACTTTGGACCAAGGAAGGTGCCTGGGGCATCTGGAAGGGCACCAACTCGACCTTTATCTACAACTTTTTGCTGAAGACTGTAGAAAGCTGGACGAGGAGCCTACTTTCAGCTCTTCTTAACGTTCCGGACCCTGGGTTGTTGGGAGGCTATGGCGTGGGAGGAGGTGGTTTGGACGTAGTAGACAGCCCGAACCCGATTATGAGCCTTGCTGTTGCTGTCACGGCAGCAGGAATCACTGGCCTGCTATTGGCCCCTCTGGATATTGTGCGCACACGGTAAGCCATCTCAAAAACGCCCTGCAGCCTGTAGTTGGGCGCGCCTGTTAACGCACTCCAGTCTTATCCTTACGCCAGCCGGAGCTGGCCCCCGGAACATCCTTCCGAACCTCCGTACTCTCCCTTCTTTTACCGTGCCAGCTCCGCTCCTCCCAATTACTCTCCTTCACTCGACTGTCCCGACTCTCGTCTCTGCCAGCACTCCCATCTTCCTCCGCTCTTCCCTCAGAATCGACCCGGTCCTCACTCCCGCCACTTACTCGCTCTGTACCTTCCTATCAAGTGCCGCGGAGCTCTTCCTAAAGCTGCCCCTCGAGACCGTCCTGCGCCGCGGTCAAGTCTCCGTGCTCTCTGAGCACGCGCGCGCGAGCGCCGACTACAATGCTCACACGACCTTCCGCAGCCAAAGCAGGTCTAGCCGCAGGAGTCGTAGTCGCACAGAAAGCCCGCGCAGCCCGCATCCGCAGAAGTCTACCGAGGAGCCTTTCCCGACTGTCGTGGACGTCGGTCCCTACAAGGGTGTTTTGGGCTCCATGTGGTTCATTGTGCGGGAGGAGGGCAGCTCAGGTGCGGTCGCGCCGGCTCCGCACGCCAGAGCGGCGGTGGCGGCGGCGGCGAGAGCGCAAGCACAAAGGCAGTCCAGAGGACAGGGCATTTCCGGACTTTGGCGCGGCTGGAGGGTGGGATTCTGGGGATTGGTGGGTGTGTGGGGTGCTGCTGCGATGGGAGGGGCGGGCGGTGGTGAGTTTTAAGGTAGCAAGGGATTACACGAACACAAAAGTAAGTACCGTCTAGATGTACAGTATGGTTAGATCACGGCAGGGTTGGGCCTGATGGATGGGTGGTTGGGTGAACGGGTAAGATTGGAAGACACGATGATGATTCCCCTTTCGTTTGGTGGCCGGTGTTTTCAATGTATGATTCTGAAGACATGACGGACAGGATACGGCGTAGCATAGCGCAGATGTAGGTAGATACTCAGCTCCTGTTGACAATTGGACAGCAAATAGAGTGATAGAGTACCTTGGTACGGTATGTGGTGGTTGAACTTCGGTAGCGCGATGCTTGGCGTAGGACACCCTGGACATCATCGCCAGCGGTGTCCGACACTAATCGCACTTCCCCCACAACAACTGCAACCCCCCGCCGAACGATGCCACGCCGATAACTGCTTCTTCTCACCAAAACCGTGTCGCGCCTGATTGACCCTTTGCCTTTTCGCCCACAATGGCCTCCGCCATCTTCTTCCTCGACCTCAAGGGCAAGGTAAGGCAGCAACACAATTGCGCTCAGGAGACGGCGTGCTGATAGCTTGTCGCAGACCCTTCTGGCCCGCAACTACAGGGGAGACATCCCCATGTCCGCCGTCGAAAAGTTCCCCATTCTGCTGAGCGAGGCCGAAGAAGAGAGCTCCGCTGTCCCGCCATGCTTCTCCGACGAAGGCATCAACGTCAGTCCCGCGCCCGCGCCCCGCCTGCGGGCAACCCCGTCGCTAACCATGTGCGTGACGCCAGTACCTCTACATCAGACATAACAACCTCTACCTGCTCGCCCTCACCAAGCGCAACTCCAACGCAGCCGAGATCCTTCTCTTCCTCCACAAAATCGTCGAGGTCTTCACCGAGTATTTCAAGGAGCTGGAGGAGGAGAGTATAAGGGACAACTTTGTCGTCATTTACGAGCTTCTCGACGAAATGATGGATTTCGGATACCCGCAGACGACCGAGAGCAAGATATTACAGGAGTACGTCAGCCGCCTGTCGCGTCGCGACTCAGGCATCGCAAAGCTGACCACACTGCAGATACATCACCCAGGAATCGCACAAGCTCGAGATCCAGGCCCGTCCTCCTATCGCCGTCACAAACGCCGTCTCCTGGCGCAGCGAAGGCATCCGGTACCGGAAGAACGAAGTCTTCCTCGACGTTGTCGAGTCGCTCAACCTTCTCGTCTCTGCCAACGGCAACGTGTTGCGCTCCGAGATTCTGGGCGCCATCAAAATGAAGTGCTACCTCTCCGGTATGCCCGAGCTGCGGTTAGGCCTGAATGACAAGGTCATGTTCGAGACGACGGGACGAGCCACGCGGGGTAAGGCGGTCGAGATGGAAGACGTCAAGTTCCACCAGTGCGTGCGGTTAAGTCGATTCGAGAACGACCGGACCATCAGCTTCATCCCGCCGGACGGAGAATTCGAGCTGATGAGCTACCGGTTGAACACGCAAGTGAAGCCGCTGATCTGGGTCGAGTGCATCGTCGAGAGCCATTCAGGCAGCAGGATAGAGTACATGCTCAAGGTACGTTCCTTTAATGACCTCTCGGCGCACAGCGTCAGAAAGCTGACAACGGCTCGCAGGCCAAAGCGCAATTCAAGCGACGCAGCACGGCCAACAACGTGCAAATCATAATACCGGTGCCTGACGACGCGGACACGCCTCGATTCCGGACGAACATCGGCACGGTGCACTACGCGCCTGAGTCGTCATCGATTGTGTGGAAGATCAAGCAGTTCGGCGGCGGCAAAGAATTCCTGATGCGGGCGGAGCTGGGGCTGCCGTCGGTGCGCGGCGACGACGAGAAGGGCGGCGGCATGATGGGCGGTTTTGGTGGCAGTATGGGCGGCATGACGAGCGGCAAGGGCAAGCGGCCCATCAACGTCAAGTTCGAGATTCCCTACTTCACCACGTCGGGTATCCAGGTCCGCTATCTGAAGATTATCGAGCCCAAGGTATGTTTGCTTGCTCCCCATTCCGCAGCCACCATCACTTGTCTACTTGGATATGGGTGGTTGGATGTGAGTGTGTATGGACATTTTGACTGACGCTTTTCTTTCTTTAGCTGCAATACCCCTCCCTGCCATGGGTGCGCTACATCACGCAGTCGGGCGACATATCAGTGCGCCTGCCCGACGTGCAGTAAACGGGGCGGCGGACTCGACGACAGTGACGATGACGATGACGGGACAGGACGGGACAGGACGGGATCTAGCAGAGGAAGGGGAGGAAAGAAGCGTGCTTTCTGCTTGCCTGCTGTTTGCTGCGCGGGTTATGAGGGCTCACTACGCCTGAGATACGTATGGCATGGCTTTTCTTGGAGCGGGCAAGCAAGAATTGATTGGACGCGAAGCTGCATGAATGAATGCATGCGTGTATGCACTAACTGGTTGTTGGCAATCAGCGGGAGCGAGTCGAGGGAGAGGCATTTGCAAGCTGCGTGCGTGCGTGATGCTGCGCTGGGTGGGCGGCATGATGGGATTGTTCACGCGGGTTATGCGTGCATGAGCGGCTGCCCTGCTGTCTCGTGTGGGGAGGATAGTTAGAAAGACAACGAAGGCTTAATTCAGGATTGATAGGTATGGCTGTGGCTGTTTTTGTGCAAGTGTGGTGATAATCAATATCACAAACGTATCACAGAGGCATGTCACAACATCGTAACTGGCGTTGCATGCGTCATGTGGAAGATGAGGTAGTGGACGTTCGAGTCCTCTATTTCTGCTTCCACCCCATCGCGTATCGTTCATCTTCGTTGTTCTTTCTAGTTCTGTTTGTTCGTATGTATGCGCAGTGATCGCTAAGCGTACGGAAGGACGTTGGGACTGAAGTCTAGGTAGTCATTATAAGAGTTAAGTAAATGTAGTAAGCTTACACCATGCGGATGGTAAACTGGTAGACCAGTACCTAGGGATGTAAGTAGCCAAACAAGAGAAGTTGGCTCGGGTTCGTGTAAGGTCGCGGCTTTTGCGCGTGTAGACGCGGGGATGAGATCAGTGGTGCTGAAGACTGTGTGTTTGCTTCTACCTGTTGCTTGCTCTTGAGTCTAAGATTCGACTTTAGATAGATAAAACGGATGCGGGTATGAACTTTGGCATAGCTACTTTTATAAGACGGATTTTGAAGTACTGGATATAGAGCTTGGTTCTTTGTGACTCGAGCGAGGAGTTGGTCCCGAAGGATGAAGTATGCGGATCTTAAAACGATACTGGCACATTTGTATTCACTATAAAAGAGAAATTTATTATACTGTATGAGAGGGTTTTTAATAATTTGTCTTTAAACATTATAACTATTATATACTGTTTTTCATCACTACAAATATACGTTTAAAGGTCTAGAATTCTAATGATACTCAATACCTTAATACTCTTAGAAAAGGATATAAGTAGTGCCTTTAAAATAGTCTTTTACCTAGCTATAGGTCTAAGTCCTACGTATAGAAAAGAATATTATATAACATATTAAACCTATACACGGTGAAAACAATATTCAATTTGCAATATTTATGAACATGTTTATCTCCTTAAGAAGTGAGCCACGCCTGGCAGTGACAAACGGTACTACTATAACCACTGCTACCTACCGTAAGCACTATCCTTGTCCTTGTATATCCTGGCATCACTGTGTCAAAGAAAAACATCGAGGTATTTAATCCAAGTACTTTCATACCATAGAAAGACAAGATCCTATAAATCCGAAGGAAAAGACGTCTTTACACCTCGGGAATCATATAACGTATACACTACCACTCTCACCATGTCCAGACATATCCATACAACATGAATACCAGACGCGGCAAGCAGCAAACAACCCGAGACACACGGCACAAGACAAGCAAAAAGAAAACCTTGGTCGAATGCCTCGATGCGCAACTCCAACACCACCACGAGTCCACGACCACCCCCAGCCTTAAGAGTACGTGGACACTGGGCAAGCAACGCTAAGCCGACGCCAACATCAATGACGAAAAGACAACACCAGTAGCACCACCACTGCCATGAATGCTTACCAACCAAACCAACACCGCCACAACAAGCCAAGGCAAGACGGTGAGCCGGAGCCAGCGCTAGCAACTAGCACCACAACAACAACAGCGCCAGCCCAAACGCCCTAGTATGTAGTAGATCCCTCAAACACCCGAACCCGATCCCGATCCAAAGCTTAGAGCCAAAAGCCACAACGAAAAAATCAACCCATCACATTGCCCACCAGCACGCACACCGCCACCGCCACCAACACCCCGCTACCACTACACACACCGACAACCGCCTGCCGATACCGCCACCAGTAGTGGGTAGTAGACTAGTAGTAGTGGCCAGCGCGGCAAGCCACCAAAAGCAGGCAACCCAGAAACCTAGAAAACGCATGCCAGCCTATGAAGCGTCCCACGTGGTGAGCAGAAAAGAGCAGGATCGAGAGATCCAAGAGAAAAGCTGCAAAAA